CATCTATCTCCCCTTCTTCTTTTTTGTGTTTGTTACTCTCTTGTGACACCTGTTGTCTTCGGCAGGCCCCTAGTGTGTCATTCTATATGTGTAATATCCTGTACTTTTTCTTGTAAAATGTCAGTCTGTGGACAGGTTGACACGTGACCTTTTTGGTCATTTTTGTGATTGTTTCATGCACTATTTCAATTTTGATTTCATTCTGGCGTGAAACCTTGATTTTTCACCTTTTTACATCCTGTGTGGCTACAGATGATATTCTGGTTTCTTTAAACTAAAACAGAGCAAAAAAAACTCTGCTGCTTTACGTTAAGTTACCTCTATCAACATATTGCTATATACGTCGTCACAGGGAGTTGAAAGCGTGAAAATTCCTGGCAACTTTTGGACCCCAGAATGGCAACAAAGGCAGATGCTTGTCTGATGAACACCTTGGTCTTCAATGAAGACTAGGACATAGCATGTACTAAGACTAGGACATATCACGTACTATTAGTTTTAGTCTAAGCAGCCAAGGGCGCCGACTTTTTGTTGTAAATTGTTGATGATTTGACTTGTTTTTTTATTATGAAATAAAAATTGTGAAGTTTTAACTCTGGTTTCACCGTTTTCTTATTTACAAAATTATATTCCTGTTCTGACATGTGTTGAGTAACATGGACTGTTATTCTTGATGCTTTTCCCATAATTTTCTGTTTCTGAACCATGAAGGATTAGAATTTTTCAGTGCCAAGTAAATTCCAATGAAAGATGATCTCTTGCTCTAAGCTGAAGCCTTCCGGCCTCTTCAGAAGAGACGGAGTCATTTTTTCTCGATTACGCATCGGACACACGTCCCTGACACCCTGACACATAAATACCTCCTTCAGGGGGGAGATGAGAAGCCGTTCTGTGTCGGATAAAGTTTATCCCCCCAAAACGCTTCAAGAAAATCCATTTTGTCTCTCCTGTAAAATGTGAAAAACATGACTTGCCATACTTTGCTTGGCAGCCCTCGATTCGATTCAATTCCTGTCAGAATTCTCGCCACCCCTCAGGGAGATAACCATGTTACGATGTACGATATGGTCAGGGTTGGGTTGATTTAAATCAGTTGATTTTTAAAATTTAAATCAACTTGATTTTACATATATTTCAACATTCAGAATTCCTTTCCTTGGTTTCATAAAACAGATATAAGGTTTATTACACTAATATAATCATGTTTAAAAGTCTGCTTTCCCCCCCCTGTCACTGTAAAATAATACAGTATTCAATTTACTTTTTTTTTCCCATAATTGAAATCACAGCTGGGTTGATTTAATCGATCGCGGTGGCGATCCGCTCTGAAGACAGTGTCAGGCGGGGAGTTTGACTGGGGCGGTACATCTGTCAAAAGGTAACGCAGGTGTCCCAATCAGTTGATTTTTTAAATTTTAAGCTTGATTTTTAAAAGAAAAATCGATGATTTAAATCACTTTTTAAAAAATGTATTCAGTTTTTACATCTTTAAACATTCAGAATTCCTTTCCTTGGTTTCATAAAACAGATATAAGGTTTATTACACTAATATAATCATGTTTAAAAGTCTGCTTTCCCCCCCCTGTCACTGTAAAATAATACAGTATTCAATTTACTTTTTTTTTTCCATAATTGAAATCACAGCTGGGTTGATTTAAATCAGTTGATTTTTTAAATTTTAAGCTTGATTTTTAAAAGAAAAATCGATGATTTAAATCACTTTTTAAAAAATGTATTCAGTTTTTACATCTTTAAACATTCAGAATTCCTTTCCTTGGTTTCATAAAACAGATATAAGGTTTAGTAGACTAATATAATCATGCTTAAAAGTCTGCTTTCCCCCCTGTCACTGTAAAATAATACAGAATTCAATTTACTTTTTTCATAATTGAAATTAGCTTTCTCTTTTTCTTTTTAGACAAACACAAGCGCGCGCACACACACACACACACTAATAAAATGCTAGTTTATCTATGCGTAATTGCCCTCCCCCCCTTCCTTTTAGACGGAAATGTTCTTCATTTTTCTGTAGCCATAATTCACTGTTATAGCAGATTAAGGCTTTCTTTTGCAGTTGCTTAAATTAATCACTAGTTAAAATAAAGACAATGCATTTTGCATTAAAAGAACATACTTTTAGCCACCAAAAATCCCAAACTGTCGACATTTTTTAAAAAAAATCCGATTTAAATTTTTTAAAATCTGATTTAAATTTTAAAAATAGAATTTTTAAATTTTTATTTTAGAAATATAAAAAATATCACCAACCCTGGATATGGTGCCAGACCAAGGGAACACTGTCATTGGCTGGATTTGCTTCAACACCAACGAGCATCTAGCGTTCTACTCCCTCCCTCCCTCCCCATATATGTGAGGCATCGTGGTAAAATCAGGCGCGCGTCAAAAATGAAACCAAAGTTTTCAAAGAAGAAACTGGCATTCTTCTGGCCTTTGGGGGATTTGTTTTTCTGATTTTCTTTTTTGCCTCAATACGTTTTATGTCCATTTCAAAACACGTTTACCTGTAGATTTTACTGAAAAACACTGATTAAAGGCACAAAAACTAAATTTTCAGTTTCCAAGGACAGTCAAGCTATGGAAATTACCAACCATTTTCTCACTAATTTTACCTCTGAAAGCATGCAACTCTCACCCCCTTCAATTGGGAATAAAAAATGTCGACTTTTAAAACTTGCGGACATTTTTTTCACCAAAAGTAAGGCAAATGAACTGGCTTTACGATGATGCCAATAACCCGGAATGCCCAAAAATCGACAGGCGTCTGATTCACCACATCGAGCCACACATGGTAGGACACCTGACAGAATTATTCTGTCCCCATGCTTTTATGCACCCGCATAATTTAGCAAAATTTGATCATTTTTTGGCATAATTTCTGATTATTTTCCTCTATCACTCTTTGTTCAAATTAACAGAATCGCATGATTTCACATTTTTGGGCTCAGTTTGCATAATTTCATAAATTTTCTTGCATAAAACGACGGGGACAGAATTATGTGTGTGCCTGGAGAAAGGTCCCACTTGGAAATTTTGGATATTGAAATAAGGGCATGTTGTTGTAGTTGTAGAAATTTCAATGCTGATGAACACGCTGATTTTTTAAATTTTACAAATTTTATATCTTGAGTTTTAAAAATTTGCCACATTTTGTAGCAAGGAGTAAAAACAAAGTTTGGAGAAAACCCCAATTTTTGGCACATTTTTAACCTTTCGTGGATCACAACAAAATATTTCGACTTAAAATCCTGTCAATATGTTATTAAGAAATGGTTAAACGTGTGTTTTCTGATTGAAACATTTCAGACCTGCGACGACTTTTTTGTCCTTTTCACCCTGCAGCTCAAAAACATCTTTGCCAACAACTGGGACCTTTGTCCAGGCACATACACAATTTGTAAGCTTACACATCAACTTTTAAGACCTACTGTGAGTCATGTAAGGCCAACTCGCCCATAATGCTTGTGGTTGTTTCGCTTCTTTTTTTTTTTTTCCCTGTCATCTAAAATATTTCCCTCCGGCCTCAACAATTTCGAGACATTCTGTTAAAAGGTGTCTAATGGTAAAAAATCTGTGTCGCGTCGCGTCCAACACAGAACGGCTCCTCACCTCCCTGAAGGAGGTATTTATGTGTCAGGGCCATGTGTCCGAAGCGTAATCGAGTAAAAATTACTTTTGTCTCATCTGGAGCGGCCCAAAGGTTTTCGCAGACCCAGTTTGGGCTTAATGTTGTGTAGTTTATTGTTTTGTTTGTTCCGACGAGTCTCTCACAGACAGGAGGGGTAGTTTTTGACGTTATTCTTAAAGTCAGTCTGTGGGAGAGTGTTCGTCGTTGATCCCAACAGAAGAAACAAGGATTCTTTCGCCAGGAGGTCCACTCACTCATTTCCCCCATGCGAATGTCTGCGGCAACTTTTTCTGTCGAGGATTTATAATAAACCTGCTATACCTGGAGGAATCTTGTTATAAATAGTAGTAATACACAAAAGAAGTGAAAAGTTACAGAAAACCACATAAAGATGACTCACACAAGAACTAAAAAGTTTTTCAGACGACAAATTACTTTTTTAATGATGACATATGGTGATGATGACAAACTGGCAGTGATGACATCAAGGGTCAGATTTGGTCCAAAGAAAGTAACCAGGAGTAGAACTTTGCGTAGAAAATTGACAGAATAAAAAACTGGAGACAACCAGAAATGTCCCATGTACATCATGCTGCGTAACCCTTCAGTGAATTGAAGAGAAAATCTGAATCCTATTATTGAACTGTCTTTGTTGTTGCTTTATCTTCCAAATTCCTCCAGCAGATTCCAGCATTGCACCGAAAGGAAAGGAAAGAATTTAACAGTATAATAATAAAAGAGCAACAAAAAAAATCTACGTTTTCTTTCAAAGTTATAGTACTCAATTTTAAAGCTTGAATATTTCAGAAAAGACAAGAACATCTCCTCTCCTCAGTTACATTCTTATTGTCAACATAAAAATCTTTCCACTGACATAATATGAATGATAAACTTTGTGTAAAACAGCAAAATATGTACAAGCTAATGAGAAGTGGCAGTAACGCCAGTGTGTGACAACACGACCACAATGGTCACGTGCAACCTCATATCTTCCATTTTGTCTGTGCTACACACGAGTCCACTAATAAAACTTAAACTTATGGGATATGACTTTTCTCTTTATCTGTCATATGGGACAAATTAATCCTATCCGTACGTCATGTTTTACTATCGTATCCATATGATGTGGGGAACTCTGTGCCACCACTTTCCAAAGAGGAAATTTACTCGTTAATCCGATCTGTACGCTTTGCATAGCAGTCAGTCAAAATGACTTTTTGAGAAAAACTGAAAGTTTCAAAGAGATCTTCGGACTAGAAGTATTCTAAAATGTGAAAAACACAACCTTGCGGGTACAAAATGACCCCAGGGCGTACGGATAGGGTTAAATAAAAACCATGGACAGTACAGGCCATTTTCCTGTGACAGCGACTGTTTTATAGGCAAGTTCATCATAAATGGGACTCTAGTGCACACATCCATTTTTCCTTCTTGAATGCTGGAGACATTAGGCTTTGAGCGGGTTCATCAAGACTGTACTGTATGATCCCACTCCGACACATGAGAGCAAGTGGCCTTGGTGGTGGCGGTGACGTAGACCGGAGGGCTGGGCGTCCACACAACTACCACGAGGGGGCCGTGTTGGCCAGCCGCCTCATTCGCCTGAAAATGGGGGAAAGTTCAGAATATTGAAACTGTAACAACCTAAATTTTGGGACCACCCTGTCACAGACACAGATTCAGATCTGCTTACAAACAGACACAGCTATCCCCAAAATATCAAGTAAACGGACAGAACTGTGTCCCAAACACTTTTTAAAAAAAAAGTAAAATGATATCTTTAAGTCAAGTGAATCTAAGGTTGTTTTTATTCCAAACGTATACATTTGAATCTCGACATTTTAGGAAGTTTTTGAAGGTTCATAAAATGTCAACAAATACATTCACCATTTCTACACCACAGACACATCAGCAACAGCACAGTAACACAGACACACCCCACCTCGCCAGGATTGCTGGTAACTATCTCTACATTAACTCACTAAAGTCTGAGTTATTTTTCCCCCAACAACCATTGCAGCCTCACAGTTTTTGGGTACATTGAAACATACACCCCAAAAACACGGTCTTTCTATCATTCTGAAACATACACGACAAAAACACGGTCTTTCTATCATTCTGAAACATATACCCCAAAAACACAGTCTTTCTATCATTCTGAAACATACACCCCAAAAACACGGTCTTTCTATCATTCTGAAACATACACCCCAAAAACACGGTCTTTCTATCATTCTGAAACATACACCCCAAAAAAACGGTCTTTCTATCATTCTGAAACATACACCCCAAAAACACAGTCTTTCTATCATTCTGAAACATACACCCCAAAAAAACGGTCTTTCTATCATTCTGAAACATACACCCCAAAAACACAGTCTTTCTATCATTCTGAAACATACACCCCAAAAACACGGTCTTTCTATCATTCTGAAACATACACCCCAAAAACACGGTCTTTCTATCATTCTGAAACATATACCCCAAAAACACGGTCTTTCTATCATTCTGAAACATACACCCCAAAAACACGGTCTTTCTATCATTCTGAAACATACACCCCAAAAACACGGTCTTTCTATCATTCTGAAACATACACGACAAAAACACGGTCTTTCTATCATTCTGAAACATACACGACAAAAACACGGTCTTTCTATCATTCTGAAACATACACCCCAAAAACACGGTCTTTCTATCATTCTGAAACATACACCCCAAAAACACGGTCTTTCTATCATAATGGGGGGAAAAAATGAAAAAAAAAAAAAAAAAAGAAAGAAATGCTCTCATCTCACAGAAAAAGAAAACTGCGTCTTTTTGTCGGAAAAGTTTTATTTTATCAATATGCCATTGTCTCGGGGTTACACAATTTTTTTGGAGCCCAATTTATAATAAAATCATACCGGAAATACTCTATACAGCAACAAAGCACAGCTGATTAAAACCTGTCAATTCTTTGCCATATCGACAGACTGAAGGGCTAGAACCCAAATGGCCGCTGGATCGGAAAAGGAAAGTAAAGTAAGTATAATAAAATCCTCTATCGCAAAGTGGGGTGTCTGACTAGTCAAATTCAGCTTTAAAAAAACTATCGCACATAACTTCACCGAATTTTTAACGAAACAAAGTAAGTGGGTCAACAGTTGGCTCGCTACTTCCTTTTGCTTGTCACCGAACAACAGCGGAGATACCGACCAATAAAGTGCATTCCGTAAAAGCACAGGATTAGGCTCAGGTTTGTTTCATTCTTCAACCTTTTTCTGTTTTGCAGTCTGTTCAATATGATTATTTTCCAAAGAAAACAACACAGGGATGGTCCCAACTACCTCATCTGTGCACTTCCACTTGAAAGTTCATCAATTAACTCCACACCTGTTGCCAGAATCAATATTTTGCTTCCAATCAACTTTTGTCTCAGAAAGAGAATGCAGTTGGGGCGCACAACAGGCAGATCCTACTTCTTTACCTTCTCAACGCTGTTTGCTTCCATCGGACTATTTTGACATTTCCCTCTCTTCACTGACCATCACCTTGTTGATGCACTCCTCTATGACATAACTGTGACACCAGAGCAGCAACAATCAATTTGGAACTGTTCCCGTTTTTAGTTTTCGTAAGAGTTTTACAGCACTTGCAACACAATAAGGTCATATGAGTGCCGAAGATTAGGTGTTACAAGAGAGTAACAATCACAAAAAAGGAGGGGAGATAAAGACGATAGATGTTTGATAGGAAAGAAGAAGCAAACCACACTAGAGCACACGCTGATGCACTCTTCTATGACATAACTCAGATACCTGTACATTCGCACGGGTTCACTTGGAACCATTCCAATTTCCACAGAACCAAAACAATTTATCCAAAGCATCCAAAACGTCAACAGTACCTGGTGTTTCGATCTTGATCCCTGATCTTCTTTTCCATCTCGGCATCTGTCAGCGTCTCCAGGAAGGGACACCACTGATCCGCCTCGTTCTGACTGCGGAAAGCGACCTCCACTGTAGGCAGCGGCGCCTCACTGGCGAGGGAGAAAACACAAGTCTTTTATCTGTCCCCGCGGTTTTAGGCAAACAAAATTCTGAATTCTGCAAACTGAGCCCAAAAATGTGAAATTATGCGATTCTGTTAATTTTAACAAAGAAAGATAAAGGAAAATAATCAGAAATTATGAAAAAAAAAGATCAAATTTTGCTAAATTGTGCAGGGTGCAAAAACCCCAGGGACAAATTTACATTTGGTTTTCATTCTTCATTTTCAAGGTGTTTTCGCGACTGGGAAATCTGAGAAATGAAATTCCTGGCTTTTTCCCGTTTTCCCGGTTGAGCGGGAACCCTGAATATTTCACCTGAATGCGTAAGTTCTTTGATGCCAGCTCAGCTGTCCTCGGATGCTGTACGCAATGGCCGTCACAAACTCTCCGCCTAGACCTGGGGACAAACGGACAGATACAGACAACTGACCACAGAGGTTCTGTTTTAGTTTTAGTTAAGAGTTTTACAGCACTTGCTACACAATAAGGTCATAGAAGTGCCGAAGACTAGAGGTGTTACAAGAGAGTAACAAACATTTTTTTAAAAAGGAGGAGAGATCAGGACAACAGATGTTTGATTGATAGGAAAGAAGGAGCAAACCACACCAGAGCACCCACAAACCACCCACTCCACAAAGGTTCAAACAAACACATGAAACTAGGCACAAACTAAACAGGCATCACCTTCTGAAACTCCTTCAAAACCTCACAGTTCTTATCCCTTAACACTCAAGACATTACTGGTTTTTTGGCTTGTATCCCCAATTTTTTTACCCTATCCGTACGCCCTGGGATCACATTGTACCCCCGGGGTGGTATTCTTTACATTTTAGAATACTTCTAGTATGAAGATCTCTTCAAAACTTTCAGTATTTCTCTAAAAATAATTTTTGACAGACTGCTACGCAAGACAAACGGATCAGATTAATGAATCAATTTCCTCTTTGAAAGAAGTGGCAGAGAATTCCCCACGTCATATGAAAACGATAGTAAAACAACGTATGGATAGGGTTAAGAAAGGAAAAATTGTGTGTTCCTTGGTCCTGTTGAATTATCAGCTGTGGTGGCAACTACAAAATCTCCCTACAGAGACGAACAAAAGACATTCTGATAAAGGCTAACAAAACTCAATGAGTTTGCTAATTTAACTCATCGAAAGCCCACTTACAAAGGCTCACTGTAAATCAATTTGCAAAGTTCTGTTGATATTTTTTTCCTTTTAATATTGCTACTGAAAATGAAATAGTTTCCATCAGGGTATCCAGCCCTCCCTCACTCTCAGCCTTGTCTCACTCTCAGCCTTGTCTCACTCTCAGCCTTGCAGTGGGGCCTTAGACGCCCCAAACTCTTGCTAGATTGTTTTCATCAATATCTCATTTGTCATTTTCTTGTTCTTGCTCAAATGCTGTTTCAAATTCAATTGTGTTGCTTTTCAATAAATCGAGACACATTCAAAGAATCGGAAACATGATAGTACTTCCATCTGCTCTTATACTGAAACTGCTGGCCCGAGAAGTTTTGTTTCAGTATCAAACGGAAGCAGAAACATTGTACAGAAGCAGAAACATTGTACAGAAACATTGTACAGAAACATTGTACAGAAGCAGAAACATTGTACAGAAACATTGTACAGAAGCAGAAACATTGTACAGAAGCAGAAACATTGTACAGAAGCAGAAACATTGTACAGAAGAAGAAACATTGTACAGAAGAAGAAACATTGTACAGAAGAAGAAACATTGTACAGAAACATTGTACAGAAACATTGTACAGAAACATTGTACAGAAACATTGTACAGAAGCAGAAACATTGTACAGAAACATTGTACAGAAACATTGTACAGAAGCAGAAACATTGTACAGAAACATTGTACAGAAGCAGAAACATTGTACAGAAGCAGAAACATTGTACAGAAGCAGAAACATTGTACAGAAGAAGAAACATTGTACAGAAACATTGTACAGAAGCAGAAACATTGTACAGAAACATTGTACAGAAGCAGAAACATTGTACAGAAACATTGTACAGAAGAAGAAACATTGTACAGAAGCATTGTACAGAAGAAGAAACATTGTACAGAAACATTGTACAGAAACATTGTACAGAAGCAGAAACATTGTACAGAAGCAGAAACATTGTACAGAAGCAGAAACATTGTACAGAAGAAGAAACATTGTACAGAAGAAGAAACATTGTACAGAAGAAGAAACATTGTACAGAAACATTGTACAGAAACATTGTACAGAAACATTGTACAGAAACATTGTACAGAAACATTGTACAGAAACATTGTACAGAAACATTGTACAGAAGCAGAAACATTGTACAGAAGCAGAAACATTGTACAGAAGCAGAAACATTGTACAGAAGCAGAAACATTGTACAGAAGAAGAAACATTGTACAGAAGCAGAAACATTGTATAGAAGAAGAAACATTGTACAGAAGCAGAAACATTGTGCAATAAGTAGACTATGTAAAAAGAAATCTCAGCCCCAAGAGTCAAGTCAAGGTGAGACTTCGATTCTGGAGACGCCTGGTCGGAGCAGGCGATTCTGGGCGAGTGAGGGTGGGGTGCGTAGGGAAATTCCTGGGTGATCTCGGGTGAGTTAAGCTGTATTGCATGGGTAAAAGATGGTCACAACCATTGTGCCTGAAAACTTTCAAACTCATACATCTCACGGGGCTTTGCCTGAAAGGATAATCGAATCACCTCCATGCTGTCTATTTATGCTCCAACTTGAGCAGCGGAGGTAAAAAGTTGGGACTTTTTTAAGACAGTTGTCAGGTAAAGGAAAGAAACCTGTGCTTCACGATATTGACGCTAGTCCAGTCAAGGACGGCTGCCCGCTGGCTTTCTCTTGCTGGAATTTCCAGCCACAGCCGGCAAACATTTACCGATGCTTACATCACTACACACTCGCTACAGTTCCACAACTGCTATCAGAGAAATACTTATTCCTAATCACATCTTCATGTGGCGTTGTTGGCCTAGTGGTTAGGCTACCGGACTCGTAATCGTGAGGTTGCATTGTCAGGGGTTCGAGCCACGGGCCCGACGTTGTGTCCTTGGGAAAGGCGCTTTACAAGAATTTTCCTCACTTCACTCAGGTGGAAATGGGTACCCGGCCATAGACAGCAAAAGATCTTGTCAGTATGTTAGTGTTTAGCGCCGATAAATGGCTGCTTGCACTGTATGCTTCTCAGGAAGATGACGTTGTTTCAGAATGCTCTCAGGTCTGCTGGGGTAATAGTATAGATTGTGAAGTGCTATCTATCATCTATTATCATTAAAGTGTTAAAGCTTACCCAGCTCAGCACACAGTTTGTTGGAGAATTCCTCGGGGCTGTTGTCCGGCTCTGACATGTCCCACTCAAACTGGTCCACCAAAGAGATATTGCCCACATGCACATTCAGCTGTGGACAGATGAGATGTTTGTACCTCAGGGAGGCTGCAGAAAGAGTCAGGAGCCCAGAGGAGGGGGCAAAGGAGGTGAGGGGGTGGGGGCAGAAAGTGGAGACGAGAGCAGAAGACAGAACATTGCTAGAGAGCAGGAAAGGAGGTGAAAGGAGACAATTTTAGGGAAGAAAAATTTCCGTCGATATCCGGATTCGAACGCGGGACCTATTGAATGAGAGGAGAAGACCTTAACCTCTTGACCACGAGAGGCCCCCTGGACAGCGTGCATCATGATAACAAATACAAGTCTGGACAGCTCGGACATTTGGTGAGGCTGCTCCTCCTGCTCCTCACGCAGCACAATGAAAGAGATGGGTGGAGTTATCCCACCTTACCGTTCATGCAAGCCATTTAGTTTAATAAGTATTTTACGGCACTTGCAACACAACAAGGTTACATAAGTGCCTAAGATTAGAGGTGTTACAAGAGAGTAACAAACACAAAAAAGAAGGAGGAGAGATAAGGACTATAGATGTTTGATAGGAAAGAAGAAGCAAACCACACCAGAGCACCTGCCAACCACCCACATGTAAGCAATGTTATGTTTGCGGGGTGACTGAAATGTCTTTTGATTGGTCACTCAACGAACTGCATCTTTTCGAGACAATTTCTCACTGGCATTTGGGAAGTGCAATGTTTACCCACGCCCACCTTAATGGTTCACCATTGTATGTTGAATATGAACCCGTCAGAGTGATATCACTTTATATTTTCAAGATTGCTTCTGGCTGCGTTCAGAATTTTGCGGCAACAAATGTGAGACAGCGGGGTGGAATCAGGCTCTCGTCAAAATAATCAAAAAGAAGAAACTTGCACTTTTCTGCAGGTCTGAGAATTTTTATTAAATGTATGTTTTTTGGCTCAACACCTTTCATGTCCATTAAAGAACTCATTTCTGTGTGGATTTTTTTTTAAAGCTTTGATTAAAGGTACAAAAATGTAAATTTTCAGTTACAACGGACTCTTAAGCTAAGGAAATAACTAATATTTGGCAGCCCTTTTCTCACTAATTTTACCTCTGAAAACAGGTGACCCCCACCTTCTTCTTTCGCATATATCTAAACTTGTATTCAAGATAAATGGATATTTTTTTCATCCCCATATAGACAAGTGAACAAGCTTAAAGACGATACCAATAACTCCACATGCCCAAAAATTGACGAGAGCCTGATTCCACCACGCTGCCTCACAAATTATAAAAGAAATGTCCGTCAACTAAAGTTATCAGCATTGCTTTCAGTTTGGCGGATAATGAAGAAAGACAAGGCTAACCTTGATGATAACCCGCTGATCATTCTGCTCTTCGGCAGCCTCAGGGTTTGAAGTATTCTCAATCTGTTGTCTGATGGCTCCAGCGATGGCTGGGATGAAGTTGATGGGATTCAGATCTAGGTCGTCGCACAGGATCTCTCCAAACTGTTCAGGGGTAATCTGTGTCTCTGCAAAAGGTTTTAAAAATTAACAATAATAGTAATAATAAATGTGAGGTGTGCGGCCAAAATGAGTTACTTCTCACAATCCACAAATGGAGATATTGGCCAAAAATCAACACTAGGGTCAAATTTTTTGATTTTCTACTGATGCCATATTCTTACTGATGCCATATTCTTTTGGTATAATACGTTTTTTTATAATTTCATACCTATAAATTGTAAAAACTTCACCTGTAAGCTTGCTGTATCTATTTCCATAGGACTCGAATCCAAGAAGTAACTCATTTTGTCAGCACGCTTCACAAATTGTATTCATGCGTTTTGTAATTTTTTCTTTTTGACAATTTAGGTACCTTTTCTTGATTTTGCTTCAACATTTAGAATCTGAATTTCAACAAATTATTTCTTGAGCACTTGCAACCTACCCTACAGATTAAAAAACTGAAATTAAAAATTTTTTTAAAATCATCAATTTTGGGCTTAGCACATCTGAACAGCTGGCAAACGATTTACCAACAACACCCCCCCCCCCCTTTCACCCTAGTTAATAGACCCAACTAATATGGCGTTAAACAGAAAACAAAATGCTGAGAATACCGACTGTTCTCACAGATTTGGAAACTGATTTCAGTTATTAACAGGAACCCCCCCCCCCCCCCCTCCCCAAAGTTTTAGTTTGGTTTTAAAAGAGGTGCTCGAAACTGCATAAGGTCATAAGAGCGCAAGAAGATTAGAGGTGTTACAAGAGAGTAACAAACATAAAAAAAGAAGAAGGGGAGATAAGGACGATGCACGTTTGATAGGAAAGAAGAAGCAAACCACACCACAGCACCCGCCAACCACCCACCGGAAAGAAAAAAAAAAGAAAAAGAAAAAAAAAAAAGAAAAAAAGAAAAAACAAGACAATCAATGCGCAAATACGACTGGCTAGCTCTGCCCAAAGTCTCCGACATTTGTGACCAAAAAAAAAAAAATTTTTTTTAAACAAACCGATCATCCCAGACAAGTCCAGCACTGACCGTTCTTGTTCCAGGTGAAGCAGTCCCGCAGCTTCTGACCCTCAATCTCCATGTCCAGCCTGATGGGGATGAGCTCCTCGCTCTGGCTGGCGTTGTCGTGAACCGACGCTGGGTCTGTGTCGTCAAAGCTGAACACGCACGCAACGGCCGGGGGGGGGGGGGGGAGAGGAGGAATGACAGTACAGGGTCATTAGGGTTAGTTATGAAAGTATCAGTTAGTTTTAGTAGAGGTTTTATGGTGCTCGTAACTGCTTAAGGTCATATGAACGCCAGAGCATAGAAAAGAAGGGGAGATAAGGACGATAGATGTTCCATAGGAAAGAAGAAGCAAACCACACCAGAGCACCCGCCAACCACCCACTGTAAGGTATCAGTTTTAGTTTAGTTTTAGTAGAGGTTTTACAGTGATCGTAACCTACATAAGGTCATATGAGCGCCAGAAGGTTAGAGGAGTTACAAGAGAGTAACAAACATTAATCCTAACTCTGGCAAGGGCCGATTAGATCGGCCCATTTCCTGCCATGAAACTGGCAGGGCCGATCTCATAGGACCATATATAGAAAACTGCTGCTTCTGCCTTCCAACTAAATATTTGGGGCTATCTAAAGTGATTTCTGATTGGCTAAAAGGCTAATCTCCAACCAATCAGAATATTCCTACCATTCTGGCTTAGGAGAAGAGTATTTTGCTTTCAAAACAGAGGGATGTTTTGAAAGCTTGTTGATCAGGTCACAAGCCACTAATGCCAGTGTAGATCTATCACTTGTGTGGGTCTAAAATGGCCAAAAATCAATCTTTTTTGGATACATTTGAAAGTGAATTGACTAGGGAAAGTAATTCAGACACTGTTAGTGGTGGATTTATTGGTGTTCAGTCAAGATTGAGATTAGATCTGACAGACAATGGGGATACATGTACCAATTCTCATCCTGCCCCAACTTCTCTTTCAAATGGAAAACTAGATTCTACTACTTTGGGAGTCTAATAGGGGCAGAAAAAGGAGAGCTATAAAGTAAAGTAGGTTCCTTTTGCTATACTAATTATTACAGACTACCAGCAGATTGCTGAAAACCACATGGTTGTACTTAGAGTGTTTTTATGTTGAGTTTGGTATAAAATTAGCGAGTATCAGCTGCGTTCGAAACAGACCACATGACAAATTGAAACAGTCATAACTCATTACCTGTTCTTCTCAAACCTATAAAACTATACATTTTCTGAAAGGTAATTGAAAAACCCATATTTCTGCTATCTCACATTTTTTATAACAAGAAATACATTAGATTGGTGAATATGCTAATGAGCATGTAAATTTTTTATGTCAGCCACCTTGGATTTCAAAGTTACATAACCCCTAGAAAATTAAATAAAATCATATGTTCAAGGGCAAAATATAAAAGTTCATTCAATTCTTTCAGAAAATATTTACTTTTGTAGGGTTTTTATTTGATGCAAGTCCATAAATTTGATTTGTAAAGCATGTGCACATTTTGGCTGACTGGCCCTGCCATTCCTGTTGAAACCACTTGCCAGAGTTAGGGTTAAAAAGAAGAAGGAGAGATAGAGACGATAGATTTTTCATAGAAAGAAGAAGCAAACCACACCAGAGCACCCGCCAACCACTCACTGTAAGGTATCAGATGATGGTACGTTGCAAAAAAATATTTTAAAATAGAAAACTGATGACATTATGAGTCTGCTTCTACCAAACATCAAGGATCCCAACCTGTGCGTTCACTTCAATCCAGGTTCTTCATAACACACAGCACCGAATCAGGTATATCATTACACACAGCACCGAATCAGGTACATCATAACACACAGCACCGAATCAGGTACATCATAACACACAGCGCCGAATCAGGTATATCATTACACACAGCACCGAATCAGGTATATCATTACACACAGCGCCGAATCAGGTACATCATAACACACAGCACCGAATCAGGTACATCATAACACACAGCACCGAATCAGGTACATCATAACACACAGCGCCGAATCAGGTATATCATTACACACAGCGCCGAATCAGGTACATCATAACACACAGCACCGAATCAGGTACGTCACAACACACAGCGTCGAATCAGGTACATCATAACACACAGCGCCGAATCAGGTACGTCATAACACACAGCACCGAATCAGGTACGTCATAACAGTATTAAAATAACTATTTATGCCTTATGCGGGCCAGCTGTAGTACTATCTATAGTATCTATAGATAAATAGTACTCGTGCCTCACTTCAGACTTTGCCATCATATTTTGGGGAAAATCTAAGAAACTGAGCGGTAAACATCGCTAATCGGCGAAATGAGGCGGCGAAGTGTGAAGGCGAAGTGTGAAATGGGGTTGTGCTTTTGCTCATTATTTTGCATATCTAGAACTATTACAATCAACACAATTAGTAATCAAAATCTTTCGGAATACACTTAACACTAAGATTAACATGCACATTATTTCCAACATTTATCATTTAGAGCATAATGATAATCATCGTTACTATCATCATCATCACCGACTAAACAATTCCTCTTTTTCTTGTTTCTTGAAACATAACAATTTGCATCATGTCAAAACATTTTTACATTATCTACAAATATCGGCACCAAAATCAGGACACGGCACCCAAAAAAAATAATTTTTAAAATCAATCTTTCACCCAAGCTCCTGTATCTATATATAACTTATAAGAAAATTATCAGCTTTTCTGAAAACTGGCAGAACATGAAAGTGTTTACAGAAACAAGTTCACAGTCGATTTCACCATCATGTCACAGTTTCGCAGTCGACTCAAGTCACCAGTCAGGACTTTTAACAACGCTACCAGCTTGTAAACTGATCAAACGTTGCAAAACTTGATGCTCAAATTTCTCAATAATTTTTCCAAAAGTAATTCAGGGATTGAAAACAAGTATTTCACTGAAAATCAGTTTGAACAGCAAAAAACATAATCAAAACATAGATGAAGCTGAAATATCAGCGAGAGCACCAGCTTAGTATTAGGATTTCCGTTTCTTTACAGAAAATCACTACAGTGTATGTGTACTCCGCTTGAGTTGAAGTCGCTGGAGTTGATCTTTCGTTGAGTAGATCTTTCATTGAGTGGATCTTTCGTTGAGTAGATCTTTCGTTGAGTAGATCTTTCATTGAGTGGATCTTTCATTGAGTAGATTTTTCATTGAGTAGATCTTTTCATCAGGTCCCAGCACCTCTTCTTTACATTTATGAAAACAAATACTTATAATATGTTGAGTTTAACTCAAACATAAAATACTTTTGAGCTGAAGAGCTCTTTTAACCCCAGCTGCGACAATGCAACAGCTGAACTTATCTTCAGGATCTATTAGTCCAACTAGAAAGCGTGTTTATTTCTGATGAAACCGACTCACCACAAGGGGAAGGTTCGAATCTTGGACTTGGCCAGCCTGTTGCGGTTGATGTGTGTGGAGCAAGGCACAGCATCCAAGTGATGTGAGCTGCTGGGGATTGCCGGCACCCAAGTGTTGCCTCGCTTGCTCTTGACAGACTGACTGTGGACAGGACAATGTTGGTTCATTTTAGTAGAGGTTTTACGGCGCTCGCAACTGCATAAAGTCATATGAGCACCAAGGGGTGGATGTCAACAGAGAAGTCCTTACAGGGAATCAGACTTACTCTGCTCACCTCTCTAGCTTCAATAGCACAAAGTCTGCTTCAACTATCAAGGCACCCCGGAAATAGCGGGTCACAAGAGAGTGACAAACATACAAAAGAAGTAGAGAAAAATGAAGATAGTAAGGATGAAAGAAAAAGCAGTAGTTCCCTGTTGTAGTTCAGGCACAGTTATGAGCATGACATTGTTGGATCAGCCCATTTACATTTCTACTGTGCATTAGAACGAGAAATGTCCCCGCCTTTGGGAATGACCTAAAGACACTTCAGTCAGTGGCACCACCCCGGGGGGTTGGACAGGACAAGACACACTGCCACTGAGGACTCCACAGGATAGTTCTAGTCCATAATACTCACAAAACCTCACTGAACTAACATCGTGGTTACAGAGAGCAGTAGATCACAATGACTGACCCAGGGAACAAGATCAAATAACAACCGTCCGTTGTCAGCAGCACATCGGAGCTTGTGGCAGAGGAAAATAACACAAAAACCTTTCCTTTGAATCTCAAGTGCCAGCTACGTGCGATTATTTAAGTACACACAACAACAACAAACTGTCACTTCCTGTATACTTGCCTGTGACAAAACATCGAAGGTAAAGTTTTTGGACCCTTGTTCAGTTTCTTTTAAAGACAAGGAGAGTTTTCTCTATAACCAAACAAATATACACTCCAATGAAACCAAACTTCTCCTATAGGTAGGGCAAAGCCCACTTTTGGTGTAGGTCAAGATTTCTGGAAACCATGGAAATCTGGATCAGCCTGCTTGTCCTTAAAAGCGACCAACTTCGTGTTTGATATGAGGAGTATACTACGACTCCTAAATCAGCCCATTTTTGTAGGCCTTGCAAATAATACGGGATGAATTTCTCACATACTAGAGAAGCTTAAGACGTATGAAACCAAGTACTAGTTGGGCATCAAATATGACGTATATAAGAGCTGTCGGTTGTTGCACTCAGATTTATTTAATCAACGAGACCGCTGTCGCTCGTAATACAAGCAAGATGCCAGGATGAGTTGTAACATTATTCAGAACTCCTGCCTTACTTCCCATTTGTTGAGCCCATAATACACGGACGATACTTTTGTACCTCGCTTTAAAAAAATAAAAATCTCTTTTATTGTGTGTGAATGTATTCTACAGCAGAACAGACCGCCAGCGTACTTCAGAGTCCAGCTCTCTCTATACATCTCATTATTTCAATAAGCTACAGATACAAATATTTAAAACACACATACGAAAAGTCAGTAACATTTAGCCCAGTAACCTTCATGTCATCCAAAAACAAAACAAAAATCACTTCCAAATCCTAGTCTTACTGAAAGACAAGGAAAAGAACTTGTCACATAATGTCAGTGAAAAAGGACAGATTGCAATAGCATCAAAGCTTCCCAGTTCGTCCAAAACATTTCGAAAGCCAAGTTCTGATAATAATTATTGTAATGAGCATAGAACAATAGATGGTATTTGTAACAGTTTATATACTTCAATCTATACTTTCAAAAGTCTTACAAGACAAAGACAGCATCCTTGTCTGACAGACTGAACTTACGTCAGAAATGAAGTATCAGAACTCAACGACACTGCTTTGTATTTTTCGTCATAGCCATTCATGATGTCATCCACTTCAGAGGCTTTCAGTAGAGTGATATTTGTTGCCAAAGAATGGTGTCCATATCCTGAGGACCCAAAAGCAGAAGTCGTTAGAAAAAAAAAAATTCTATGCAAGTCGTAAAAGACATGCAGACCCTTTTAAAGTTCTAACGAAAAAAAGGAAGAAAAAAAACAACACAATTAAAAGTACAGGTGTACACTTGACCAATGTTGTTGCTGTTGTTAGCGATCCAGTAGCATCTGAGCGTTAACTCTTCTGCATGATGCCATTCAGTAATAGTTGCATGTCTGTTCTAATTGTTGTTTTGAGGAGTAGAGGCAGTTAGATGTGTGGGGTAGCTTGGGAAGAAAACATCCCCTCAGTTAGTTTTCTACAGAAGAACAGATGATGTTCCACTGTCTCTGAGGGGTAGTCACAAAGTGAGCAGGCAGCAGACTGCTTTACTCCAATTCGGTTGAGATGTTCGTTGGGGGGTACACTTGACCAATATAAAAAAGAAATCAGAAACTTCAGAGTGTAACAATCAGAATGTACAACTGTCTGAGCCACAGGAACTTTTCCTACGTACGTCAAAAGTGCACGACCGGAGCAGTTGGTGATTTTGTGCATATATATTGTTAGTAGAGTCCGGCACGCACAACTCAATCATGTCAAGGATAGACAAATCTGCCGTAAGCTATCTGCCGTAAATCTTTCAAAAATAAATAAACAGTGACAAAAAACCTAAAGGAACACAATATAATGAAAAAAATCTTTGTGAAGCTACATAAGTGTTTCATTTTTCTTCACAGCAGTTTCAAGAAAAAGAGTTTTTTTTTGCTAGCATAACCATAGAAAAATAGTGTTCTTCCAAAATTTGAATTTATTTTAAAAACTTGTCACAGTTTCACTTTGATTTTTTCACACAAGTACGGTAACTGATCAGGCTTTCGATTTAGCATTTTAATTGTAACCGATTACTGACTGTAAATCTTTCAAAAATAAATAAACACTGTGACAAAAAAATCTCAGGAACAGTATTGAAAAAATGGCTGGACTGACCTTTAGTGGACCCCCCGTGTTTACATTTTAAGGAAATACACAAGTCAGTAGCAGTAACAGTGGGGGGTTTCAGGGGGGGCAAGCCTCCAGCAACAATAAGAATTTTTAAAAACCCACATAAATGCAAAACAATAAAATAATCTAAGAGTAAGAGCGGACCATAGCTGCATTGCACAGCGAGTCTCAATTTAGTAGTTCCGGCTTCTTCGTTCAGTGTTCGGTCCACCAAGTTCAATCTTACTAATTTTCTCAAAGACAGCACCACACTTAGGTCCTACCCATATTTGCCAGTTTTTTCCTTTCTTCCAAAGTGATGAGTCGCCTCCACATGGAAGGATATTTCTTGTACAACGACCCTCTGAACATGCGTAGATAATTCCCAACCTGAAAGTTGAAAGAAAACAAAAAAAGCAACAAATAAAATAGATCTAATTATGTGTCACCGTGTAGCAGGATCAGGCGCTCGTCAATTTTTGGGCATATATATATGGAGTTTTTGGCGTCCTCTTATTGTAAAGTTTGTTCATTTGCCGAGGGAGCATTACATCATGATAAAATTTAAAAGGAAATGGAGGAGAGACAAGAACGATAGGCCCAGTGTCAGTGAGATTATATTATGTTTGAATAGAAAAGATCATGGAATCTAATGAGTTCAAATGATGTTATTCCTATACAAATATATAGATCTACAATGCAGGGTTGGTGATTTTTTTGATTTTTTAAAATCAAAAATTTTTTTAATCGATTTTTAAAATTTAAATCAAGATATTTTTAAAAATTTTAATCGGATTTTTTATATTTTTTATATTTTTTTTAAAATGTCGACACAGTTTGGGATTTTGGGTTGCTAAAAGTATGTTCTTCTAGTACAAAATGCATTGTCTTTATTTTAACTAATGATTAATTTAAGCAACCGCAGAAGAAAGCCTTAATCTGATATATATTTATCAGTGAATTATGGCTACAGACAAAAAATGAAGAAAATGTCAGTCTAAAAGGAAAGGGGGGGTATGCATAGATAAACTTGCATTTTATTACAGTGTGTGTGTGTGTGCGCACGCTTGTGTTTGTCTAAAAGGAAAATGTTAATTTCAATAATGAAAAAAAAAAGTAAATTGAATACTGTATTATTTTACAGTAACAGGGGGGAAAGCAGACTTTTAAGCATGATTATATTAGTCTACTAAACCTTATATCTGTTTAATAAAACCAAGGAAAGGAATTCTGAATGTTTAAAGATGTAAAAACAGAGTACATTTTTTAAAAGTGATTTAAATCACTGAGTTTTATTTTGAAAGTCAAGTTGATTTATATTTTTAAAAATCAACTGATTTAAATCGACCTGATAGGTCGATTTAAATCAACCCAACCCTGATTTCAATTATGAAAAAAAGTAAATTGAATACTGTATTATTTTACAGTGACAGGGGAGAAAGCAGACTTTTAAACATGATTATATTAATTAGTCTACCTAAACCTAAAAAAGGAATTCTGAATGTTCAATATGTAAAAACTGAATACATTTTTTTAAAAGTGATTTAAATCACTGATTTTTATTTTAATAATCAAGTTGATTAAAATATTTAAAAAATCAACTGATTTAAATCAACCCAGCTCTGATTTCAATTATGGAAAAAACAGTTTTTTAAATTGAATATTGTTTTATTTTACGGTGAAAGGAGGGAAAGCTGACTTTTAAACATGATTATATTAATATTAGTCTACTTAACCTTATCTGTTTTATGAAACCAAGGAAAGGAATTCTGAATGTTGAAATATGTAA